TATATATATATATATATATATATATATATATATATATATATATATATGTAACGTGCACACACACACACACACACACACACATACAAGGCGTGTTTAAAAAAAGACCGAACTTCTTAAATAGCGCACCAACTGGCACAGCCCTGGTAATTATCTCCGATAGAAAACTATTAAAAACGATTATATCTGTATCATTTTTAATCGTATCTTATCGGTACATATAAAACATTAACAACAGACAGATAAGACATTAATCAAATTCTCACATCTCATGAGATGTCGGGAAAGAGCCTAGGAGCCTTAAAAACGATAAGAAATTTTTTTTCGTTTTCTATCGTTGGCAGTTATCAGGGAGATAGTGCGCTGTGCTACTGAACGACAAGTTTTGCTTTAAACATTAGTTAATTGTGCTATAAACATTAATTGTCGAGCTACATTCTCTGAACTGAGCACGTGCACAACTTGTTTCACACAATTTTACACAATTTTGCTGCTGGTAAACTTGGTAAAAATTTCACACACACACACACACACGTTCTTCAAGTCCTTTTATTGTCACTTTGTTACTAATCCGACGAACAGCTTGTGCACATGCTCAGTTCAGCGGCTGTAGCTCGACAACTAATAATATTTATACCAGAAAAGGGAAAATAGCGGTTTGTTGTCAAAATTTCATAAATTTTTCTGCAAACTTGAGAAAAATTTCACACGTAGATGTTGTTCTTCAAGCCTTTTTATTGTCACTTTGTCACTAATCCGACGAGCAGCTTGTGCACGTGCTCAGTTCAACGGATGTAGTTCGACGACTAAAAGGGCCACTTCGACCAACGCCGATTAACTTTAATCAACCACGATTAACTCAATCAGCAGTGTTGCCAACAACAAGATATTTGTCGTTGTGTATGTCGTTCTTAACCAATCTTTTCAAATATTAGAACATTTTACAAGTGTATTAAAGCAATCTGAAGTGTTCTTTTATATATATACATATACATATATATATATATATATACTAGCTGGTTACCCGGGCTTCGCCCCGGAGGACATATGTAATCAGACACGCAAATAGTCTCTCTCTCTCTTTCTCTCTCTCTCTCTCTCTCTCTCTCTCTCTCTCTCTCTCTCTCTCCCTCTTTTTCCTCTCCCTCCCCCCTTCTCTCTCTCTCTTTCTCTCCCTTCCTCCCTCCCTCTCCC